CACCAAGTTTTAGTATGCCTGTGTTTAAAATGTGAAAATAGTTTTTATGTTTAACTATTTTAGAAAGTTGACAATGTTTCAACTAAATTACTTTACATTTCTTTATAAAAATAGCAAAAACATGAAATCACTTTACATTTCCTTAGAAAAATAGCTACGACATTAAATTACTTCACATTTCTTTACAAAAATAGCTAAAACATTTTTATAAAATCAATATAATGCTAGTTACAGGCTTCCTTAAAAAGAGTGACTAAACAGGTGCATGCACAGTACACACACATCCTTTACTTTTGAATTAATTTACTAGGTAAGTAGTTAAAAATATGTCTAATACATAAACAACGAGTTCATATATAATCAGTATATAGCTATTAAAAGATATACATAAGTCTAATATCTAATCGTTAGTAATGCTTCAGTCAATGTGCTCCAAACAGAGATATGGGACTTGAGAATCACACATGCACATAGTTCTCTTACACAAATTTTTTTGGTGAGCCATATATTTGACAATGTTTACCTATCAAGTCTCAAATACATATGAAATTCAATATTACGTTTAATATGTGTACACAAAGTTATTAGCATGAACCTGAAAAACAGTTAACCGTATTTATGGTTTGACATTAGATAAAATGTCTTCAAAGTAATTTCCTTAAGTTGCCATAAATCCCCCCCCCTTTCATGGTGAATTCTTAATAGCAAAAGTATGAGAAAAAATTAAGTAAAAATAATACACTGAAACCAAAAATTCTGCACATTAAAGTAGCTGAATTCCTCTCAAATCTATAGTTATGTTTATCTAGCAAGTTAAATAAAATTTACTGTAAGGAGCATACAGTACAACTATATGATTTTTTACTAATTTCCTTCATGTTAAGCAAGTCAAAACAAAAGATAGTTTCATTCTGCATTAGTTCTCTAATCTTACATAGATGAAATAAAGTATTAGACATTCAACAGACAATTCTAAAACACTTCTGAGTAAAACAATAATGGACGAAAAAGAAAATATAAAGAAAAAATACACAGCCATAAAGGCACTTACTAAAATCAACTCACATTCATGTATGTTTGAAGTTTTGATTCAGGTGGTAATCCTGTAGTTGGTGCAAATACTTGAAACAGAGGATCCAAACTTGTAACAGGATTAGGAGGCCCTACATAGCATAGGTCACAAATTAGCTTAAACATACAAAAATCCAAGACTCATTTTAATTCATTATTATTATTATTACTCTTTGCTAACAAAACATGAAGTTGTTTTATAATTGCAGTTATAAAACACTTTATATCCCCATGTTTGTTTTAGTCAAAATGCTGCATATCCACCAATATAATGCTACTGGAAGCTGTCTTGTCAAGAATGCATATACCAAGTTTTGCATCTAATATATATATATATATATATGCATAAATTTAGTCACTAGGATATTACAGGGCAGCATGTAGAATAACCCACACGAGTTGAAAGAAATTATGGCATATATTAAAGCAGTCATGAACTGAAATGGTGTTTAATATATATACACAGAAAACAGTTCGTGACATTTTGTAATTTTTTTATTGTTTTATATTTTCCTTAGAGCTGGTATTCAAACTTGACTTGACTTCTATTGTAGGCAAAAGTAATGTAATAATATTGTTGCATTAAGATAAATACATTTATTACTGCTTGTATGTGTTGGAGGGTGTATAAATCAAAATGTATGTATATTTGCGTATATAGTTTTGGTCTGAGTTTAAAGATATGCATTTTTAAATTTGTGCACATGTGCTAAGACTTATGCAGGTCACAATTTTCAGGAACTTGCATGATCCCCTAGAAACCTAACTAGTGTTCTTTTAGCAACAAAATGAATAATGTGAGAAAAAAAATATATATTTGTCCAACAGGCAAAGTATAATATTAAAATTTATTGCCCATTAGAAAAAAATATTCATATAATTCTACAGAAATGCTATATATACAGGATGGGAAATTTCTGTTTACAGCAAGAAGACACTCCTGAAATACTACATTATAGAATTTCTATATTCACTAAGTACTGAAACTGTGTTTAGATTATAAGTCATATTCTAACAGGTGTTTGTCGTAATTTTAGCCAGCCCTTAAATTACTTTTGAGACTGCCACTTCTCTTATAATCACAAAGTGTACATTGTTATGTCTTTTGACATCTCTATTTTAGATAGACTGCAAAAATTATCTTTCAAAAAATACACACTACCACTTTTCTCGCAATGTTTTCTGTAACTGCCTAAAAGCAATTACGATGTGCACAGTCATCAGGTAACACTTACCATCTCATGTCACATCTTTTTAAGGTTGTGTATACATAATAATGTTGATGTGTCATGCAACAGAATATACAAAGAAGATCATTACATAAACCTTATCAAGACGGGCCCCAGGTGAAAGGCCATGTCATCTTTGCTAACTCGCATTCAAAATTTATTGAACTTCTATTTCATGAATTTATGTCAATAACTTTGGTATCAAACTGTGGATTATAATTCACATTTTAGTACTGTACATTACTCAATTTCTTAATTTAAAAGTAAATTTTAAAAATACACAGACAAACTCTGATTTTGTGTGTCACATGATATGTTGAATGCAGCACTGATTCAAATTAGATGTTTGTGAAGTCAAAATACTAAGTCTATAGTTTTGTATGAATTAGAAACTCAAATTACTGATATTGACAAGCTATAATATAAAATAAGAATGTCTTACCTTTTCTATGTGCGAAGATATTGCTCATGTAATAAATCAAACACAGTGGCACCCCACCCACCACTTTCAATTTTTGGAAATGCTCTCTTATATTCACTTACTTCTATATATGACATGAATAACCAATCGGAAGCTCAGAATGTCGCCCTAGTGACTTTCTCAGCCATTTTAATGAGCTTGATGCCATTTCTTTCTTTTGAATCAATATTTCAAGGAAGTAGGGTGTGTCTTTAGTCTTCTTAGTTACTAAGCTTGATAAATTATAGTGGAATTCTATGGTATTTATAATTTATGATTTTTTACTTATTCAAATGTATATATAAAACCTAAAAAAAATTATTTTGTTTCATATCCTCCACATGCAAAATTTTTAAAGGCTTAGTAACCTATGTCAAACAACAACCAAGTACAAAGGTCGTAACTAGAAGAGATAATTGTTTGCTTTATTTCTTTATTTACTGTTCTATGTTTTA